GTGGGGGAAAAAGACGAGCTCTGTCTAAATGAATGTGTGTGTGTGTGTGTGTGTGTGTGTGTGTGTGTGTGTACTACTTACACCGATCTGTGTGTTTTCAAAGAGCTGCGTCTCAGCTTGGACCCATTATTAGTTTGCCAAAAGTAATGAGTTTCTGGGGTAAAAGGTCTTAGAGCTTCAGCAAATCTCAGTCGATACAACAGCCATGCTAACACTCGGCTAAGTGTGGACAGAGAGGGAGGATAAATACTGTGGTTTATACAGTTCATGTGGATGAAGAGGTGAAGGCCCTAAATGTCAAAGATGTTCTAGAATCATCAGCTGAATATGGCAAAACGCCTGCATGCTTTTATAAACACACTGTGTTTGTGGTGCTGTGTCTAAGCTCGTCTCCTTCATTTTTCAAGAAAACTTTATTGTGTCGCTGTATTTTTTAAAGTGGAATAAAGGAATTCAGCACTGGTTTACTGTAGTACACTGTACTGTACTGTAGTATCTGTCTGCTCCAGGGGTCACTACTGACACTGACCAGTCATTTCTTTAGGAGCTGCATCCAAACCTAGAACTTGGCCTGTATACGTGTGTGTGTGTGTGTGTGTGTGTGTGTGTGTGTGTGTGTGTGTCCGGCCGGCTGCTGCCCCCTCTAATCCCATAATTAGAGCCTGGCTGGACAACTTTAATGAATGCTGGCTCAGACTGATGAGTGTTCCTGTTTAGATCATTTCACTGAGAGTGTGTGTTTATTTTAGCGTGCTGCTCTGTTGACCTGTGGCAGGCGTTCGATGCTTTAAGTCCAGGAATAGCAGCGACCATGGTGTCCACTCCACACCCTGTCGAACGGCAAACACACTGTGGTTAGTTTGTTTTTTTCTTTAACATTTACTGACCAGAGAGTCCACCTCTGGAGCTTCACTCACTCTCTTCTCATATTGTCCATGAAATATGACAATATGTATAGATTTAAAAAAAAGAGCTAAAAATAGCTTAATAAAACTCAGTAAGGCTAACAGTGAGCTAAATCTTTCTAAACCACAGACAAAAAAGTAAAAGCTGGGTTTTTGGTTAAAAAACTCCTACTAAAAACAACTTAGTGAAATATTTAAATGTTAGCCTAACGGACTAAAACAGTTCTACGGCTTTTAAGCTCACTGTGGTACAAATAACCATAACCTTACTAAATGCTAAAAGAAAGTCTAACAGTAAATACCTAAAAATCAAGCTTTAAATAAAAAAGGGGAAAAAATCAAATATTTTGAGAAAAGTTAAGTCAAATTAAAAAAGCCTATATTTTGACTGACTGTCAGTTAAACATTTAAAATAGCAATTTTTGTAATTTCATTTTCCCCTTTCCTTAGAAGAGCTGATGGATTGAGTAAACAGAGCCTAAACTTAATTCAAATCTTCTGACAATTAATATGAGATCTTACTTTTTTTTTCAGTTTTCAATTATTTTATGATAAACATCAGTCATTAACTGAAAATAATTGTTCTAATGATCCTCCTGAACCATAAAAAGATTCTACATTATTAAATGATGTGCGTGGCTCCTGGTGGATGATTGAGATTTTACATTTCATTTCCACTGCACCAGGATTTTCCTTCCCTTTTTTAATCTGCATATTTTACCTTTTTAATTCAAAAATCACCAATTTATTATCACCACCGTTTAGGCAGCACTTCTTCATTCCATTTAAGCCGCTCGCCCCTCTCTCTTTAATGCACCTTACCCTGAGTTATGAATGTCATTTCTCACAGCACACACATTCAATTTCATGCAAATATGTGAATTAATCACTGTAACCAGCATTTTGGTTTAGACAAAACACACACACACACACACACACACACAGTTATCTTGTGACACAAGGCTTCTGCTAAACAAACATTTGCTCCCAGTAAACTTTTACACAACCTCAATAACAGATAACATCTCACTATAATCAACATTTATATTAGAATATTTTCATGGGTTTAGGCCAGGATGTTTGATGATTGTGGTTAAACTGATTACAGCTTTTTTTTTTTTTACCTTTAGTAGATTTTAGGTTGCTCTTTACCCCCCCACTCTCCCAACCCCCCGTCCCCCATATGATTTGTTAAAATATGTATTTCCCCCATAAAATACAGTGTTAACATAGAGTATAAATAGTCACATCAGAATTGTTAACATTTTTACAAAAATATAATCAAAATCAATCAATCAAAATAATATGTGAAACTGCTAAAAAAAACATCCATAATTGGACCACGTCCAAATAGCAGACGTACGTGGCAGGAGTATGTTTTAGTAATTTAGATTTTGTGATTTTTTTTTTTTTTTTTTTTTTGGAGACAAGTTTGCAGATATTCTAGAGTCGTCTCTTCCTCACCAGTGTCTCCTCAGTGCTGCTGTGAAACATCAATGAAGTCTCATCACCGTCAGTCAGAAACAGAAGAACTCTGACTAAACATGAGGTACCATGCTGAATGTCTGTCTGTCTGTCTCTGTCTGTCTCTCTGTCTGTCTGTTTGTCTGTCTCTCTCTGTGTGTGTGTGTGTGTGTGTGTGTATACGTGGCGTGGCTATATTTGTAGGGACACATTTTTGGGGATACTTTTGTGTTGTGTTGACATTTTCCCACTGAGCGAGAGAGTATTTTGAGGTTCAAGATTTGTGTGTGCGCGTGTGTGTGTGTGTGTGTGTGTGTGTGTATACGTGGCGTGGCTATATTTGTAGGGACACATTTTTGGGGATACTGCTGTGTTGTGTTGACATTTTCCCACTGAGCGAGAGAGTATTTTGAGGTTCAAGATTTGTGTGTGCGCGCGTGTGTGTGTGTGTGTGTGTGTGTGTGTATACCTGGCATGGCTATATTTGTAGGGACACATTTTTGGGGATACTTTTGTGTTGTGTTGACATTTTCCCACTGAGCGAGAGAGTATTTTGAGGTTCAAGATTTGTGTGTGCGCGCGTGTGTGTGTGTGTGTGTGTGTGTGTGTATACGTGGCGTGGCTATATTTGTAGGGACACATTTGACACATTTTTGGGGATACTGCTGTGTTGTGTTGACATTTTCCCACTGAGTGAGAGAGTATTTTGAGGTTCAAGATTTGTGTGTGCGCGTGTGTGTGTGTGTGTGTGTGTTTAAGACAGATAACCACTCATGGTGACACAGTGTGAAAAATTGACTTGTCTTTGTTTTGCTGCAGGAGTTTGGATTCTGGATTTCGCTCCAGCTCAGTGTGAAAGCACAGATCCATCTGTGTGCAGTGTTCACACAGATTCTGACAGATAAACAAAGTGTATTTTACAGAGATACTACTTTTCAGAGTTATTGTGCTACAAAAGCATAAAGTCTCAATGGAACAAAAACCTAACAATGTAGTGGATGTAATGGTCCGTACTGCTCTACCCTGAGTGATGGCAAACTTGTTTTACTGTAGGTCAGGTTTTTTTAACCTTTTTTGCTAATGATTATTTAATGATTATTATGACTATTTTGCAATGTTTAATACATACATGTTACTATTTTGCAATGTTTAATACATACATTTTTATTATTATATTTTTCCAAAATATTTGCAGGCATTTCTTTGCTATTATTTAATCAAATAAATCTGAGCCACTCAGGTCTACAGACTGTATTGTATACTACAGTCTTTGTTCTAATATTGTCATTCCATATTTGGAGCTTCCTTTTGGCTTTTGTTCTCTGAAATACTTTGTGTTTTGCACAGTCCAGTTTACAATCACCATGATGCAATAGATTGAAAAGAATTGTTTTAGAGGACTGTGACCTTTACACAATAACACTCCAAAACTCACCTACAGTAGCTTTAAGAGTCATGAGCCGCAGCTCCACAGACACACACGGAGCAGGGACGCAGTGAAAGGTCAGCAGAAATGCAAAACAACAAAACAACACAGCGTGTGTGTGTGTGTGTTAAATCAACACAGGGTTAGATGGTCATTTCTATTCTGGCTGATGAAAAGGTCAGAGTGCTGTCCTGACATTCTCTCCACCTCTGGAGCTTCAACCCACCCACAAAGTCGCCCCTAATGTTATTGTAACAAAGATGATGGCTGGCCGGGGCCCAGGACCATGTGGAAAGAACGTTTGCTGAATGGACTTTCCCTCAGATTAGGTGCAGCCTGACCTTTCAGCGATAGCCTCCATGAGAGGTACTTCCCCCTCTGGGGTAAAAAAGGGAAAAAGGGCACTTCTGCTGCTTTCTTACCCCTCAATGGGAGCTTTATTGAAGGAGTAGCAGGAGAAAAGAAGGGCGTCGCGTTCCCTACTCCACTCCGACTCTCCAATGTCAGGATAAAGTGCGATAAAGTCAGACCCTCATCCGTGTCTCAACCTCCAAACAGAAATAGTTCCCACCATGCAAATGCATTAGTGACGCAGAGTGTATTAAAAAATTGAAATCATCCCAGGGCCAGTGACACAAGTCCCTAATGCTGGCAGATATGAGCCGTGAAAGTGTGTGTGTGTGTGGGGAGGGGGGGGGGGGGGGGGTGAAATTGGGGCCCTTTTGTGTAATTTTATTGTTCTTGTGATGATTTTACATCTCGGCTTTCAGGCTTCTCTGCTGTGGGACATGTGCGGCAGTAAAAGACTCATAAAAGCAGAGGCATCAGGTTCTGTTACTGTAAACGCCATCAAATGGACGGCGTGGGCCCAGACTTGGGCCGTCTGGGTTTGTGCCTCTCACAGGACGAATCGATTCAACTTCACACAGAAGTGCACATCTTATTTCCCTGAAGACCGCAGCGACTGAAGCCTCCTGTGCTAATCGAAGAGTTGTAGCCTCAAAATAGATCAAGCTCCTGTAACCTACCTTTCACTTCCTGCGTTTAACACTTTTTAGATAGATAGATGATAGATGGATAAATGCTTTTCCCCAAAGGGAAATTAAGGAATTCTTTAATTCAAAAGTCAACTATTGTCCTACAGTGGCTGCATTTCAAGTTAATTTTGCCCTAAATTGAAAAAGCTAGAATTCTTTGGACTTTTTGGTGAATCTTGATCCTAAGGTAAGCACCGACTGAGTGGATTCTGGAGATTTTAACTGTGTAGGAGTAGAAACTTGCCTGTGATGGAGTTTGGGCCTCAGTGAGGAAACTCCAAGCCTTCCCTCTCATCTGTCATTTCTTCACATCACCTCCTGATCCCAGGAAACAGGAGTCCTGTGTCTCTGCACCGGGACAACAGAGGCTCTGTTGTAGTGGGTGCTGTGTCTCAGGCAGGTGCTGGACTTGATTGCATTAGACTGATGGTGTGCGGTGGACGCCACAGGAGACCTGAAAAGCCGGCGGCTGGCTTTACAGCCACCTGCCAGCGGTTAACCAGAGGGAGAGAAAACATAAGAAGTAAGAAGGGGAGGCTAAAGATAGAAGCAGATGAAGTCGTTTCACTATCAGCACTTCCTCATCTTTTATTTCAACATCAAATGTTAACACAGGGCGAAGCTAATTTTACCCCTGAACACAGAACAAACATGAAAGCTCAGGTTTTCCTGCTCACTGCAGATTATCCTTCTCATTCAGTTTTCCTCGATCTGATTTCCTTCTCTCTCCTCCTGTTCTCCCACTTTTTCTTTTACTTTTGTGTGCTACAGCTCTGAGAGCAGCTTAATACCTGTGGCTGATCTGGAAGCAGTAGAAGGATTTTTTCTCAGGCCTCCTGCTGCATCTCATTTCCTTCTACTGACAGATTTTAAGTGAAAAGGTGCAACATATAAAACTGAGAGTTAAATACAGGGTAATAACAGAGCTATCAACGCTAACATCGCTAAAATAAAGTTCACTTTAAACACAATTTCTTTTTTGTTTCTCCTGGCTTCCTTTACAGATTTAAAAGAAAATTGCATTTCTTTGCCTTACCCTTAGCTAGTCTTCAATTAATCTTGGTAAAATTGTAGCTTTTTTTCTTATTCTTATTTGCTTTATATGGACTAGCTTTTAGTATTCTTAGCGCTAACTTGTGGCCTCGTCCCAGTTGTAGCCTTTCTTACCATAACCTAAACTTTCGACCATTTTCTAGCTATGTCTTGACCGACTACCACCACAATCCTTAGAAATTCGGGGGTGAATCTTGGTCTTCTTAGGGCATTTATGCCCCCAAGAGAAAAGTGTAAAATATGGAAAAGAAGTTATTTCCCTCCAGTCATGGATTTAAAGTTTTAAATGTTAAAATGCATCCCACTTCACCACAACATTATTAGAAATTAGAATGTCCCAGACCTTATCATGGGAGGACTTTTTCCACCTGGAGCCTCATTTGAATTTTAATTGAGTTTCCCTGCTGTAAATGTTACCAGGAAGACTCTTAATGCATTGGTCTAAATATCACACAGTCAGATCTGCACAGCCCACGCTGCAAATCCAGATGATTTGTAAAAGTACTCACCTATAGCGATACCACAGCTCCACTCTGGAAACTCAAATATGTGAGCAGGGACTAATTAACACCAGGCTGAGCTGCAGAGAAGAGTCGGTGATCATCGACAGGAAGCAAAGACACAGACGTCCTGTCATTTAGTCTGCTTCAAATGAAAGGAGAACACGCCGAAACAATCCAAGGCCTTTGTGAAAAAAATCTAAGTCAAATGAGAATTAAGAGAGAAAAAAAGTCAATTGGATTAACTGTCTTCAATCATTCAATTCTGTTATTGATCTGAAGCCAGAGGAAATATCTGAAGGAGCTGCAACAGTTTCCAAAGTAGCATCGATTGAGGAAGGTAGGAGGAGGAATAAGGGCAGAGGCTGATTTAGAGCGTGCATCCAATCAGGTCTGAGTGATACAGTATTCTGTAAGTCTGCAGGCTACAACAGTCCTGGTACAGACACCAGAGCTAACATTAGCTACAACAGTCCTGGTACAGACACCAGAGCTAACATTAGCTACAACAGTCCTGGTACAGACACCAGAGCTAACATTAGCTACAACAGTCCGGGTACAGACACCAGAGCTAACGTTAGCTACAACAGTCCTGGTACAGACACCAGAGCTAACGTTAGCTACAACAGTCCTGGTACAGACACCAGAGCTAACATTAGCTACAACAGTCCTGGTACAGGCACCAGAGCTAACATTAGCTTCAACAGTTTGGAATCTGAATGTCGGGATTTGGGTGTGTTAAATGAGCACCAACAGTTCAGTTCTGTCAAATCCCTGGAGTGTTTCAAGGTTAATGTTGGTTAGTGCCAGCACATCTACTGTACCACCCTGACTTCAGTGTGTACCGTCGTGCCATCAAAATAACATTCTATCTGGTTTTCCTCCAAAAAACAGCAAACAAGTTCTAAAAGTGCCTGAGGATCATCTCTGCACATTAAAGCCGCACACGTAGCCTCACACTCTTGATAATTACTTTCAGTTATTGAATTAATTTTATGGCGCCCCCTGCATACCACTGAAACCCTGGGTGCAAAACAACAACAGCTATTATTCAAAACTACAGGAGACTTGAAAAAAAAAAAAACACGCAGCCTTTTAACTACTGCACAACGGTCTGATCGCACAAACTCCAGCAACTGTGCAGTTAAAGGGCAATCAAGTTGCTGCTCTGATGTGCCTACTGGGGTTAAGCTGAAATTACATTTCCTGGAAAAAAGAAAAAGAAAAGCTTTAACTAAACATTTATCTGTCTACATGGGTCTAACTGAGGGGATACAGAAGAGTGGATGTAACCAGGAGTCAAAGACAAAATCAAACACTGTTACCAGCTAGTTGCAGGAACAACAACAAATGATTCCAACAACAAAAAATCAGACTGTAGATTTGTTTATTTCCACACCAAGTACTGATCACATGATCCACCCGGTGTGAGCATTTTGTTTCCAGGTGGACACATTAAACCTGCCACAGCCGTTATTTAAGAGACGGACGTGTGGAGATGCTGATAAGACAGGTAAAATATCACCATCATTATTGGACGTTGGACACATCTGACAGACGATGGTCCATCTCTGGATGTTGTCTTATCTGCTGGACGGCAGATTGAAATGTTAATGAGGCCTTTTGATCAGCCGCAGTGCCGTCTGTCACCACATCTTTTATTTGTTTGTTTGTCCACAGGAAGAGTCTGCTGACCTCACTGTCTAATTATCGCATAAAAAATACTTTTGTCCTCAGTGGACAGAGGTTTGGAATCCTCTCCCTGCTGCAGAGTCCAGGAATTGATCCAGTCTTGGAAAGCGAAGCAGCGGAGGAATGTTTCCAAATCCAAGGTGCAGAGACTTCCATTTAACAGGGAAAAATGAAAGGAGCTTAAAGGTTTTTTCAAGAACCACATAGATGTAGAGTTTATATCTAACAATCTCTATATCAAATTTGAGAACTGTTAAATTTATGGTTCTCTTATTTATGTAAAATGTATTTGTACCCTGCCTACTACCTATGAACACATTTGTCTCTTCAGGTACATCATTAAAATACAGACAAACTGTCCTTAAAAAAAACAAGGAATCATTTAGTTTGAGAAGGAAGAAGACTCCATGATTCACGGACATATCCTGCCCACTCAGGACACACTGAGCACTGATGTAACCATGTGCGTCATCCTCCATCATGAATCCACATGGGGCCCAGCAACAGTTAACACCGTCCACTCCTGTCTCAGCTGTTTAACCATAATCTGCATCTGAACAGCTTCTCTGATGTTGCCAAAGAACATACAGAAGAAAGAGCAGGTGGTTTTTTTTACCTCTGAAGAAAAACAATGTTTAAATTAAAGAAAAAAACCTGAAGGTACTTGTGTGGTGTAATCACTAACGTCTCCCTGTCACTGCTCCTCCTACGTACCTGTTATTACACAGTGTGTGTGTCTCTGTGTGTGTGTGTGTGTGTCACTGGAGTGAAAAATTCATGATTGTTATTTAAATCAGCCAGCTGTGTCTTTTCTCACAAACTGCTCTGTGATGCATCCGAACAGGAGCTCAGTTTGTACAGGAAGCCAATGTTCTGGAGGAAATGCTGCTGAAATATTTACACCAGAGTTAAAGTGCACGTAACGGGATAACCGCCCCGGAACTGGTCAAACGGAATGGAAGACGTGCGAGAGACAGAGGGATTTAGGGTGAAAAGAAATAACTACTGTGAGACCATTCAGCAACAAATGCTTTCCATTACCATCGTCATCGTCATCATCATCTCCACAGTTTACACTCTCAGCACTGGTTCAGTGAAGTGCTGATGGACCAATCTGCAGCCACTTATCCCCCCGGTCTCTCCTTTGTCAGTCATAATGAAATTATTACCCCTGGTTGTGACCATGGAGACGGAGCAACATCAAAGATCTGCCCCCTTTTTGTTCCTCCTCAGCTGCAGATGGATTTGTTCGTTTCTCCTCTTCCCTCTCTGCAGCTCCGTTTTCAGTATGAGATATCAGATAAGTCTCTGTGGAGTGTAGAGAGTGACAGTTTTCTTCTTAATGAGCTCATTATCAGTTTAAAAAAGTGTATAAATATGAACGTGGGATTTAAAACATTGATGGGATTTGGGATCTATTTGTATCAGTTGTATGTAATCACTCAGGAAATGTAAGTTATATAAACATAATGACCTTTCTTATTAGGCACATCTGGCTACAAGCATTGGCCACAGAGATTGACACCCGGAGTGCCACCTGCTGGTGGGATTAAATTAATCACAGATGACATATAATTTGTAAAATAATCAAACAATTTTCAGCCTGGACTGAACGCATTTTCTTTACACTCAAAAAAATAAACACATTTCATTTTTTTAAAAACTGCATTAAAAGGTTACTGGTCTTTTTATTATATTGCACTGGTTATTAATTGAACATTAAACATTGCATTATTCATACCCTTGCAAGTATTCCAAATATTTGCACTTAACCTCATATTAACGTTGGGTACATTTATGTATTTTATTATTTTTAATTGTCATTTGCAGTATTTTAGTATCACATAACTGTGTTCATTATTGTTCAGAGTGATGTGTGTGTGTGTGCTGGGGGCACAGCAGCAGCTCCTGGGGGGCTACTCCCTCGACACACTTCAGCCCTACCAAGTTCAGCATCAGAATCACAATCTTCTGATTACAAGACCAAATCTTTAACCCCTGACACAGAGGTTAACTACTGGCTACAATTTGAATAATTAATAAAATAAATGAGACTTTTGAGTCTACGTGCGTCCTGTAGATATGTTTCAAGGTCATTTAATTACACTTTAATCAATCAATGTTTTAAGATCCAAATCCAACCCTTCCTTCGAAGCCTGACTGCAGCCGCGACTGTTTAAGTAACATTATCCCTCAAATCTGGTTCTGTTTCCCTTCAGATGCTGCGTCACAGATGTAGTTAATCACCAGCTGAGAGCGGGGTCAACAGTGTTAGCTGTTGTTAGCCGTTGCTCTGCCCCATGTGGATACATTAAGGGGAATGACGCACGGAGGGTTGCATCAGTGGCTGAAATCTATCCACTAAATCCGTCCATGACACCTGATACCTTTAACCATCTAAACCTCAAACAAATATTCTACTTGTTACCCTTAAATTCACCCACACACCGTTAAGACTGGGGCAGGTTTTTCTGCCTCGGGGCACGGCAGGGAAAAGTCCAAGTAAAGAATTTTCCATGACACTAACAGACCAAACGACTCATTCTGTAATTTAAATAAAAAAAATAAAAAAATCCGTCTAAACCCTGCAGTGTCAGTGTTTTTAATCATCAGCTGAAATCAGGGTCACCAATGTTACACGCTAAGGAGGCGTTGTTACGTGGCTGGATGAGTACGTCACTGATGATGACGCAGGAGCGACGTTGCCGCCATGGCATCTATTTATTCTCTTCCGCTAACTGACATTTTAACCTGCTCCCTTCCGGCTGCAGCATCGCTCCAGCGACATGAATAGTTATTAATGGATAACTACATGTATTGTATTGTCACTCCACATTTCTTTTTGTATCGAACTGTGACGTCACCACCAAGGTATCACCTAACTTTGGCCTTTGCGTAAGTCAAACCTCTTATTTATATATATATTTGGAACATACAGTATTATATATAACAATGATATTATCTTACAACCAACTATACAGGGGTATATTATTACATCAAATATATAGTTGTAGCTCAGGCATGTACAGTATGATGGTGTCGTCACAGGAAGTCCATTTCCTGCAGAGCACAGCGGGAATTATGAAGTGGAAAAACAGTTTCATGTAAATGATCATGTTTCCACGACTGCTGGTAATAAAGGCTGTATGCAGGACAGAACTGACACAGACTGACAACCACAACATGGACACAACAAAGCAAAGAATGAAACAGGAGTTTATGAGCCTAACCATTCCATAATCTTAAGAAATGCATACAAAAAGAAACTAAAAGTAATTATAATAATAAAATAGATTTTTGGTTCATTCCCTTTTGTGATAACGGAACTAATCATCAGTCTTGGAAAAATTGTTTAACTCAAGATCATCAAAACTGTTACATGTTTGAATTCTATGACAAATTTTCTGTTCCTTACTTTACCTCCCTTTCTTAACAACCAATGAACCAAAAATCAGTTTCAAATATGGGTCTAAGTTGAATCCTCTTATGTGTGAACGGTCCCAGAGCCACAAAAATACTTTCTACACTCATGTCACTGTACAGTAAATGCAACAAACGTTCACCCAGTATTCTTGAATCTTCAATATGCCATGACCAAAACACAGACTCACTTTTGGTTTTGGAAGCTTGAACATGCCAGAAATGACTAAATGTAATCCGTGTCAATAGAAAATGGAGCTGCAGCAGCCTCAAATTTCCATCAGCTACCAGAGAAATTGACCAAATAGGTTGAGCAGGTCAGCATCTTCTTAACACAACAGGAAGTTCCTTATATTTTTGTTCCATGTAATTAACATTAATTGACATATATTTTATATTTATATTATATTCATTTATATATAGACTTCACAAGTCTGCAGGTTTTTGAAGATAATTAAAATGTTCTCAGGTTTATAGCAAAAACCAAAGATAAAGGTTGGTACCGTAATCAGCATTCAGAAAAGTAATATTAATAATTACTGTAATTTTTTATGATGCTCCGCTCTGTAAGAGCCAGGGTCAGGAGGAACATTACAGCTGGGACTGACCCTCCACTGCACCACCGACGTCACTCACTCGGTCATTGTTCCAACATGAGACGTCTCATTTATCTCACTGTGCTCCCCCTCATTAACTGTGCTGCTGTCCAACGCTGTCTGTGCACACCTAATGGCTGCAATTAGTAAAGACAGACCTCGCTGCTGCTGCTGCTGCTGCTGCTGCTGCTGCTGCTGTGGCACCAGTGTGACACACATCCATACTCACTTCTACACACACACACACACACACCCAGTGTGTCAGGAAAGCTGTCAGAGTGAATCGTGGTCCTGGTGTGCTGAGTGGGAGTTAGCATTTGTGGGAGGTGACAGAGCCAGCAGGTACAGAGCGACTTTCTGGTGCACTTGCTAATAATGTCGAGGGTTCTGTGTGTGTGTGTGTGTGTGTGTGTGTTAGAGTATTATAGGCTGAGAAGGACCATGCATCCACAGATTAGCACAAGGTTAATGTGAGGATACGATCCAAACAAATAAATAACCAACATCAATTTAAGAAATGTTGGAATTTAAAGATGTAGCGAGGAACTCACAGAAAATACATGATCATTTAAATAAAAACACATTTTCTTATACAGAAACTTTCAACAATTTTCCATATCTATTTATCTATTTATCTATATATATATATATATATATATACTGTATATATATATAAAATACATAAGCCTCATATATGACCTCCAGAAATCATTCTTTGGCTAATTTGTAAGCATAATGTATATGCTTTGGTCACACATTAGTTGTTTTGATTCATTTTTGATACTATTATCATGATTCTTTAAACTAACTTTGGTTGAACCTGTTCCTTTCTGTGGGCTAATGTTTATATATCATTTACGGCTAACGTTTCTTTGTCTTTTAGTTGTGTCTTTGACCATCTGGTTGTATTGCTATATAACTGTTATATTTTTAGAGGGTACAGTCTTGTCAACCGCTGTTTTTTATTGCCGACCAGCATTGATCAGTCTGATCACTGAAATTAAAGTCTGTTTTAAAGAAAAGTGTCAGCTCTGATGTGAGGAGTTTTACTGCAGCAGAACAGAACTGTCTCTCTGTCAATGGGAAATGATTCCATCTGTGAACACAGCTGTCAGAGTCAGAAAATAGGAGACAATAAGTAAGATATGACAAGAGAGGCTGCTGTCCAATTTTTCTATTCCTGCAACACTCGCTGTTCTATACCTGGTGGTAGAGGAGGAGGAGGAGGAGGAGATGATGAGGGGAAAATGAAAAATAAAGAAGGTGACAGGGACAGAGGCAGTGGGTTTAATTGCTTCGACATCCCTGTGAGCTTGGTTAAAAACGATGGAAAGAAGGGGAGGAAGGGGGAGGAGTAGGAGGAGTGAGTGGGACATGGGAGGAGAGGGTTTGGTAATCTTCCAGAGAAGCTTCTATTATCTGCTGCTCCGTCCCAGAGCCCACAGCTTGATCCCTGGGCTGCAGCTACGTGCACGCGCCTGTGAAGGAGAAGAAAGATGAGAAAGAGGAGAAAAATGAGGAGGAGGAGGAGAAAGATAGTAGGTGATCTGACAAAAAGGAGCGCCACGAATGTGAGCAGGCGCCCAGACAGGTGGACAGGGAGACAGGTGGAGGTGGACAGGGAGACAGGCAGGAGGAGTCCCAGTGTCCCCAGGCAGCTCCAGATATTCCTGCTCCACTGAACAGCATAATGATTCTCTCTTCTTCTTCTTCACACAGGCTCGACCCAGGTGGAAATCGACTCATCGCCGTCCTCCGCAGCTTCAATTGCACCAGAAGGTGTGTGTGTGGGGGGGGGAGGGGGGGGCGACTGTGGAGAGTAAGCTGGAAAAGAAAAAAATCATTGAAATTTTGGGCTTAAAACAAACACAGGGGTGGTA